GGCTCTGAAGTAAAATTGAAAATGAAAATAAAACTATCATAGTTTCATTTATAAAATTTTTAAAGGATATTATTCACATAATGGTGATTTCACTTGTTTTATAGGTCTTGCAAAACTTCGAGGGACAGGATTGGCTCTTCCGTCTCAAAAGTTTGCCAACCCCTGCTCTAGATGACTGGTGGTCTGGATACTGGATGTCAAGTGGTCTGCCTATGTGAACATTCTCTCCTTAGACTGTCAGGGGATAATCTGGAGGTCTGATATATGTATCCAGGCATTGAGCAGGACTGGAAAGTTCAGCACTTTAAAGTTCCAGGCTACTTAAAAGAACAACAGAATCAAGTTCTCATGCGTCAACGTACTTGATTTTAGTAATTTAGCAGCTTGACTATAAGTGACTCCATTTTATTTCTTCACTCTTTTCCTCAGAGGTATCATAAATTATTTACCCATCCTGCCCTTCTCCTTGACTGTTGTGGCAGTAGAGTCGGACAAAATAGAAGAGATGTGTAGAAGTCAGTCAGCTGACATTTGATATTTTTATAGTTTGTGGCTTTCCCTGTCAAACAGGAAAAATCTGAAAAGAATACCGAGTTGCGGTAACCAAATAAGTAACTCTGTGTGCTGAGAACTAAGGAAATTGCAGGGAAGAAAATGTGAGGCCAGGGATCGAGACATATTGCCTTTACACACCCAAAGAAACTCCCCAAAACAAGACAATTAAAAAATAAAAACTACAAATCACCCAGCTCCATGCGTCCCAATTTCTGAATAACAAATGAGACAACGTTATGACCAAAGTCAGTTAGAACTAATGACATTTCCAGACAAAGTGACTTCAGATCTCCAAGGCGTGCCACGTATACCTCATTTTCCCAGTTCGCGTAGAGCAATCCACCATTACAATCTTTGGAAGAGAAAGGCTGTTTTTTGCCACAGTTCCAGTTTTCTGGGCGTTTTACAGCTCCTGCAAGCAGTGAGCTTGCGGAGCGGAGAACTAAGCGGCCCCTTGGCCCCACCCCCGATAGACCCCTCCGTTGGGGCGGACTGTGTACGCGGGCGGCGATTGGTTCTGGGTCAGGGGGGCGGGGCGCGGAGGTCGGGCTATAAAGAGTGTACAGCGCAGGCTTCTTTGCGTCGGCGTGTTCTCGGCGTCTGTTGTGGCTGTTGGGTCGTAGGAAGGAGTGCGTCCCTGCGAGTCATGGCGACCAAGGCCGTGTGTGTGATGAGTGGCGACAGCGGGGTGCACGGCACCATCCACTTCGAGCAGAAGGCAAGGGCTGGGGCAGAGGCTGGCGGCGAGGCCGTGCCGCGCACCTGTGCCCCAGAGCGGGCGGCCGTCCTCGCCACGCCCCCGCCGCTCCCGGCCCGCAAGGCCGCGCAGCGTGGGGCCTTTGCCCTGCAGCTGTGCTGCGCTCCCGCGCTGCCGCTCGCTCGCGGCGGCGGAGTGCTGAGTCACGGGGCGAGCCCGGCCGCAGCGGCAGTGCGCGGCGAGGCTGCTGCGGGGCTGAGCCTGGGCGGGGTGCAGGGCGAGCCGCCCCGTGGGTGCCAACAACCACGGGCCCGGGAGGGAGGAGAGAAAGCGAGAGGGGAAGGTTGCCGCCCTCAGGGCCTTGGCTGCCGCCACAGTGTCTAGGCCAGAGCGGGGAACGGACGCGTTTGAAAAGGGTGCGGCCCGTTTTTGCGGGGTCATTTTCTGGGTCTTGAGGATCCTGCGACTCTCAGTTGCGCAGCCCAGTACTCGGCCCGCCCTTGAGATGGGGGCGGGTGGCGCCGGGCCGCTGGGTGTCGTCGCATCCGTTATTCCTTTCGGGCCTCATTTCCGACTTGAGCTCTGTAGTTCAGGGGTTTGCAAACTGGCGCACGGGCTTCATCCGTTTGGGTCCGCTGTTTGTACAGCCCCGAAGCTAAGAGGACTCCTTAGGTGTTTGTTTTTAATATGTTTATGTTTAAAGCGTCGTGAAAAACGACGCAACTGAGTCCCTTTGTGGCCTTTACAGAAAAGTTTGCTGACCCTTCCTCTGGGTCAGGGCCAGGCTATAGGGGCGAGGAAGAGGCCCTTGGACAGAGCTCCAAAGCCAGAGATCTCACCGACTCCCTTGTTGGAGGTTTTCCATAGCAGCGATTTTTAACCCTGGGTGCAAAGTAGGCTCATTTGGAGAGCTTTAAAAAAATACAGATACTACGGCCCAACTCCAGACTAATTATATCAGAATCTGTCAGGTTGCAATCTGAGCATTGCTGTTTTTAAAGTTTCCGAAGTGGTTCTAATGTGCACCAAAGATGGAGAATTAACTGTTGGTGGAGGGTTAATGGATGGAGTTGGGAGTTAGACCCCAAGTGTTTCTGTTGCATGGACTTGTCACTTAACTCAGGTCTTGGAGCATTTGTTTAACCAAATTCTCTGGAAAGTGACTTTGAAATTGCTCTTATCAATAGGCCTGTTACGGAGATGGTAGAAAACAAACTTTTGAACAGATCTTGTAACGTAAAGTATACAGAAATACTCATTAGTGATATTGCACACGTGTTGTAAGGAAGGCGCTTGTAATAAGACTGTCCCCCAAATCTTAGTGAGGGTACTGGTGGAAATTGTTTATGTTGTACCTGGCTGATTATTCAAGAGAGATTGTTTAACATATGAGTGAGATTTAGTCTTTAAAGTGGTTTACAGAAATGTGAGAGGACAGGAAACGTAATCTAGATAATTGGTCCATCTATGAAATTTACACAAAGCAGAACTTAGGTTCAGGCTTTATTTATCCCTTGAAGTGGTTTCCAAATTTTCTGGAAAAGGCTTTTTGCATTTGACTAAATTTTACTGTTTTCATTTGCCAGACTTTGTTTTGTCCCTCCTCTCTCGTCGCCACATAATTCACCGATACTAGAGAATCTGAGAAGCCTCTTGAGGCTCTCTTCCTCTGGCCACTGAGAAACGGCTCCTGGTGTTCCATTCAGAACCAAGCTGTGAATCCATACAGAACCGAGGTTCCGGGAGTTTTCCCACATTCCCTGAGCAGCTGGAATGGCTGGCTTCCTCTTTTAAGTTCCAAACTTCACTTTGGTAGTGCTGTTTGTGCCTGATAAAAACCCTTGGATAATTAAGCATTATAACTCTACAGATATGCAGATGTATTAAATTGGCAATAAACTATTTGTTTGACCTATTGAGCATTTAAAATTTTGGATTATTTTCCAGCTTTTTTTTATATTAGAAATTTTCACCTGTAAGTCCAGATTTCTAGCTTCTCTTGAAAACTGGAGATCTGCCCATACCAAGCCTTCATTAGCCCAGGGCAACACTGCCTGGACCAGGTTACGTCCGCTTTGCTTCTCTGACCTGTTTTACTCACCTAACAGCCTGGGCCCTGTAGGGTTGTGCCCAGGAAGCTTACTGTTGAACTAACATGCTCTAGGCATTATCCATTAAATGGAGGCATGGAAGAACCTGCCCTGTTTGTCTCTGTGCTTTTGATAACAGCCTGTTTTGGGGGATAACGTTCACATTTGAGTTTTTTCAAAAGTAAAGGTTGTACTTAGAAGAATCATAGTATATCTGTTTTCAAAAAGAAAAGCAAAAAAGGGCAGCAGTTGCCACACTACTTGATTTTGCAGTGCTACTTATCCAATGGAAAGTCAGTCTTCAAGGCTAACACCTCTTGAGACTGTGAGTCCTTACTATTTAAAAGCAAAGACAGCCTCATGTGTTTTACTGTGTGGTATGGATGTTTGTGTGTATTTTTAGTTCCTGAGATCTCCCTGTACCTGGAATAGTAACTTCCTTGATTTATGTATGTATGGAGCCATGCAATACCATTACCGTCACCATTGCATGATTGGTGATACTTCTGTTATTTTCACCTGCTTTCATGTTATTGTCCTTTCTTTTTTGGCCTCAGTAATTAGAGTGGAAAGGTTATCGAGGTTTCAATCCCTAAAAAGACTTCAGAAAACAGTACGTCTGGTTAGAATAGAATCAGTGCCCCAGGGGCAGTGGGATAGGATATTTTCAGGCTATGTATCAAAAATATCAATGCTGGAATTATAATGTACACCTGAAATATGTATGCTCTTGTGTAGCGTTACACACACACACACACACACACACACACACACACACACACACACACACACACACACACACACACACACACACACACACACACACCCCTATGCTGGAATCTGGTAAACACCCCTTAGTGGAGAGTGGAGAACAGGGACCCTAGGGTAGGTGGTTGGACATTTCCTGGTGTGTATGTGTGTGTGGCTGTCTGTCTCTTTTTTGGCAAGGTGCTAAAAAGTATGATGTGCTAACATCTGGGTAAAAAAGTTTGATATGTACACATATACTCAACTGTGTGCAAATATAACCTATTCAGAAGTATTTACAAAATAAAGAACTTGCTCGTTTTCATTGTAAGCGAGTCAGACTCTATAGAGTCTCCAAATCCACCATTTAAGTGCTGACTGTGCCCTCCACTCCGCTAGGTGCTTTTTGTGTGCTGTTTTATCATCTTGCTGCCTCGCCACAGGGCCTGGCGATGAGTGTTAGAATTTAGCTTGCCAGCTCTCACTAAGCAGCTTGCTGGAAGTGCCCCGCGAGGAAGTGGTGGGCCTGGGGTTTGGACATGGGTGTCTCGACTCCCAAGTCCATGGTCTTTCCCCTCTCCTGGGAGTGGTAAAGACGATTCAACTGTTTTCTTTGTTCAGAGGCACTTGGTCTCTCAAACTTGTGGCCCTTTTCTCTGAATACAGGGGAACGGGCTGGTCGTGGTTTCAGGATCCATCAAAGGATTGACTGAAGGCGAGCATGGCTTCCATGTCCATCAGTTTGGAGATAATACACAAGGTGGGTGTTGTGCTGATCTGGGGACCCACCTGTGCTTAACCCAGTAGATAGCGCCTAAACACAAAAACTCCTCAACGTTAAAACAGTTAACATGACTGCGAAGGTCAACCTTAGGGAGATCAGCCACAAAACTAAATTTTTACTCTTTAAGTGTGGAAAAGAAGGGGGGAGGAAGGAGTTGATGTTTTTTTAATTGTGATTGTGGCCTGATTATTATATGAGTCTCAGCTGTTTTTTAAGAACAGCAACTTCAGCTCCTGTCTTACCTTCCCCGTGATCCCAGGCGTTTGTGAGCGGGGGCGGGGTGGGTGCCCTATGAGAAGAGCTCCACGCCTCTTGAGATGAGACCCCTAGTGAGACAGAAGTGAGATGAGACTAAAGGTAGGGTGTAAACTATTGGTACTTTGGATTGACTTTCATTTTCTCAATTTGGGATTAGAAGCAAGTTCACAAAAGTTTGTGGGTTAAAAATGCATTTAATGATCTTTTGCCATATTTGAGTAATCTGGCCTTAGTGTTTAGACTTTTTATGGTGGGAACTTGATTCATTTTGCTGGAACTTGTTTTTAATGTTCCACAATTTGGTTCCTATAAATAGTGATTTAATGACCAGATTGATCTGTTTTTAACAGTTACGGAATTTCTCAAGTTGCTTCTTGGTTTTACTGGCTCTGCTTTGAGCGGCCATTGCTCTGTGGCTTTGACTTACTGTGCTGCTTCCTGTAACTTGCTGTCTGCTCCCGGGACGGGAGGGTTGAGCGTGGGGATGGGAGGGCGGGTAGAAGCTGTAACAGTGGAAACTTTCCATCAGCAACTGAATGAAGGATGAACTGTGTCTCAGAAAACTCCTGCATTGTCCTGGTTGTGTTCTGTGTGAATGGCGGTCTCTGGAGCACAGGCGTGCCACTGTTACAGAATACGCTCAGTGCTGCCCCCTGGAGTTGTCCGAGGCAACTGCCTTGGCCCTGGGACAGAAGGTGCCGTTTTCTGTCCTGTGCGCACCAAGCAGAAGCCGTGAACCTGAGAGCTGCTTGCTAGTATGTTGCTGGGGAGATAAGTGTTTTGGAGTTTTGGTATTCTGCCTTTACAAACAAGGGTCATAACCATGGGATTTTAACAGAAGAACCATTGAATGTCAAGTCTCGGCCCTCTTATTTTATAAGGCAGTGAAGAAACCAAAACCCAGAGAAGGGCATTAACTTGACCAGTGTCATCGAGTCTGTAATTAACACTTGTCTCTACTCCCTGCCCATTTTGTTTACACTGACTTGTTGCTTCCTGTTTTCATTAGCCTAGAAGTCATGACGTACATCAGTACTTTCTCCATTTGAGGTTTTAGCAATGAGCAGTTTCTTTTTAGAATTTATTTTGGAATTTTGATTCATAATTTACCCTTTTTTTGGTAACTAGGCTGTACCAGTGCAGGTCCTCACTTTAATCCTGAATCCAAAACACACGGTGGGCCAAAGGACCAAGAGCGGTGAGTGACAAAATGCTTAACACTTAATAATGGAAATGGCTTTTTGGGGTCAGTATAGGTATACTACTTGCAAATTGCATGCTAAAGTAATTGAGTGGTCTCCCCCTTGGGTCCCCCTATCCCCAAATGCTAGAATGGCTTCCTACCTGGGCTAAGAGATTGACAAATGGGGACACTTAAAACGATTTGGTTTTGTAGCATTTATTGAGTATAGAACTAATACAAGTGCCAAAGGGGACTAATACAGGAAATGTCATGAATAACAGTACTGTCAACCTCTAGCAAAATAAACCGTCATTGTGAAACATAGGAAGCTTTGTAGATAAAAATTTGAAAATTCAGTGAGACTCCATGTGTATTTGGTTTCTGAGAGCCTTTCAGGAAAATATTACATTTAAGGACAAGGATTAACTTAATTTTATGACTGAGGCCTAGGGGCATATTTCTTCACCATGCCCAGAATTAACAGGCAGAACTCAGTAACAGAATTGTGCCCTTTAGTACTTTGTCTCTGAAATTAGAGGTGCGCCCCATCCCATGACTCCTCCCAGAGGATTACTTGTTTAAAGAGCTGTGTCTGGACTATCTAATTACTTGTTTTTAAATTCGTATGTTTCCAAAATTTTGTCAGTCTGGAAAAAGTGAGTTCTATTTGATACATACTATATCCACATCTTAGCCCATCCCGATCCATCTTGACTTAGTCCATTTTTAATTTAGTGCTCGAACTGTTCTGCTGTTAAATGGAAATCAGGCCTGATGCCTCTGATGCTGTGTTGTCAGGCATGTTGGAGACCTGGGCAATGTGACCGCTGGCAAAGATGGTGTGGCCCACGTGTCCATTGAAGACGCAGTGATCTCACTCTCGGGGGACCATTCCATCATTGGCCGCACAATGGTGGTAAGTTTCAAATACTAAGGACATGCATCAGATTCCTTCTAATACAGTCATGTGTCTTTTCATGCTTATTAATCCTGGTTTCTGAGGATCCACATAAATTGCACCTTTAGTTCAGATTAGAAAAAACAGTTATTTTATGGGTATTACAGTGAAGATGAATTGTCTAGGTTAGTTGACACTGTTCTAAGATGCAGTGATACAGCAGATTACATTTGACCATGTTAGATCCGCATCGCAGAAACAGAAGTAGTCTTTGGCTAGTTTTCAAACAGCCAGATTTTCTTGCCACGACTGGGTTTCCCTCTTGTAGCTAAACAGAACGTTTTGGTTAAGTCTCAAGTCTTGGGCGGACCTCAGTATTACTGTTCATTCATGGCTGTAGGTCATCATCACTTGTTTAACATGGGGGAAGCGGTTGCCTGCAGTCACCCTTGGGAGCTGCATCTGGTTCATTGCAAAACACCACGTAGTATAATCTCTTGCCTACGCCAGAGGACAGTTAAGTCAGCAGTCACGGCCTTCCCAGTTCACCCTCTATCCTGAGAATTGTCTTCAGCTAGAGTTGAGCAGAAAAATCATTTATAAATGTTTGATGAGCAAAGTTTACAGTTCTATCTTTAAATAGTTCAAGATATTTTTAGGATTACCTTTTATTTTGTATGCTATTGTCATGAAGCACGTTTTTGAGGTTTTGGGGTTTTTTTGGGCGGGGGCGTGTTCACTTTCCTTTTTTTTCCAAAGCAATTTTTAACTATAAAAGAATGACTAATGGAAGTTACTAAAATTTCTCATGGAGGATTAAGACCAGCATGTGGTGGACTGTAACAGAATTGTTTGCATTTTAATATTTCATTTAGAGATAACAACTCCTACCTACTATTTAACCCTGTGTCGGGCGCAACTGATCTGACTGATTGAACACAAATTTTCAAATATCTTAAGTGAACTTAAGTATCGTGACTCATGGCTTCCATATCTTCCCCCTCTCCCGTAACCTGTAACCAGTCATATTTGTGACTTAGTAAAGACGTATTTCATATTTGAAAATTTGTGTGCAGTGAATCTGTGAGATCAGTTGTGCCCAACGGTTAAGGGTAATCTTTATCTTTGCGTCAAGAGAAAGCTTTTAGTTTTTACTTTTTATTGTTAATTAAATATTAGTATATTTCCCTGTGAGGATTATTTTAACATTTTTAAATATTACGTAGTTTTTAGAAATCTTTTGGGTATTGTTGGGAAGAGGTAATTATTTGATAGTCATAAGTTATGTCCTTAAAATTTTTTCAAGGTCCATGAAAAAGCAGATGACTTGGGCAAAGGTGGAAATGAAGAAAGTAAAAAGACGGGAAATGCTGGAAGTCGTTTGGCTTGTGGTGTAATTGGGATCGCCCAATAAACATTCCCTAGGACGAGCTCTGAGTCCTAGTAACTCCTCTGTTATCTTGCTAGTTGTAGAAGTTTAACCTGATAAACATTAAACACTGTAACCTTAAAAGTGTAATTTGTGTCTTCTTTTAAATTGCTTTATAATAAGTACCTACAGTGAGAACTGGAAAGATTTGTATTTTATAAAACTCATATTCAATTAAAATGTGTGTTTCAATGATCTTTATATCTTGCCAGACATAATCTCATACAGGTATTAAACTTAATTGTCTACATTTGTTCAGTTCTCCTTCAAGCCTGCAGTAAACAACTATCAGAGATGGTACTGTATTTTGAGCCTAGTGAAGTATCCAAATTGGAACCTAAATTAGCTGATACTCAGAGTTTGAATGGAACAGATTTAGTAATATGTTGACAGGCATTAATTATCTCATAGAGCTCTCTTTTGGAAGTTTTAAATGAGATAATCAAAATGTTTACATTTTTAGCAGCTGGTCTTTTAGCTAAGAATAACTTGAACTTTAATCTTGGACACAGAGGCTATCCTTTGTCAGCTTTAGGGAAGCTTAAGGTGGTTTCTCTACTTAGCCACTTAGCATTAGATTCAACAAGTACATAGGTTTCTTTTAAAATGTAGATGTTATGATTTAAATCGAGAGCCCTTTATTTTTAGTGAAATTGTGAATGGGCACAGTTATAGCCTGTTAGCTAAGAATAATTTACCCACCTGCCAAAATGGCACATATTCCACTTCTGTAGACCCGTGAACATTTAGTTTATAAGTAGACTGCAGAACCTACTTTCAGATTAGCCCTTTAAAGAAACACAATACATAGCATTGTAAGCTGGAACCAACGAAATATTTGATTGTGGGTACTGGCTGTGTAAACGTTAAGAATTTACAAATCCAATTAGTGAATTCAAGTCTATTTTACCTAAGCACTTATGTACCTGTACGAAAATGCTTTTAAATGAAATGTTACTGTAACTCAGGGTAGACTATGTGAATTACACTTGTCTATTAATTGAAAATTGTAAAGTATTTCTGGTAGTGAAACCACAAATAAGCTACAATTCTGATTGATCATAAATATGTACTTGATCAAACGTACTTTTGATGAAACGTACGTAGCTTTAGGAAAAGCTAATTTGGAAAAGGACACATGTTTTCAAAGTTAAAGGTGAGAAGACAGTATGCTTACAGTAAGTGATTCAAACCGCTGTCAAGTAGAGATATTAAAAACAAAGTAAGACTTCACTAATACACAATCTTACGTATGTGGGATGAGACTCAAAACGGATTCCCCTGGGACCTTTAAGGCAAGTGTAACTGCTCCCACTTTAGTACTTTGGGGGTCTTGTCATGTGCAAATAAGGTGGTCTTAATACTTTTATTTGGAAATACAGGCTGCAAATCCTTAAAACCTGAACACTAATCAGATGTTTCCTCCTTTCCAGAAGCACAATTTGTTAGGACTTTTGAACTTTTCAGTGGGCCAACATAAAACTACAGACAAGTTTTATCATTCACGTTGGCAGATAGGAAACGGGTTTTCTCTTCTTTTCTAAAGGTAGGAACACAAGAACATTGCCCTCGGTATATTCTTTCCATCAATCAAGATCTTGCCGCAGAGTACTATTTGAAAACAAATAAGGCAGCTCCACCCAGAAAATGTTAACTGCTCAGCACACTGAAAGTAGGACAGCTGAAAAATGTAACTTAAGAAAAAAGCTTCAACGCCACGAATACTGGTACTGGGCGGTCTTTTCCTCGGCCCTGGGTGAGGTCTACGGAACTGCTCTTCCATACTGCACCCAGGCTTGACTTGGCTTTGGATGTCTTCAGATAATCGTCCTTGGATAACCTACAACTATTGTTCCTAGTGAACAATTTTAAGCAGAGAGAGAGTACTTCATAGGCGGCAAAAAGTCCAGTCTACTGCCCAGCAGGGGAGTTTAAAAAAAACCAAAACAGTTAAAGGCAACAGGCAAGGCTTATAGGAAACAATAGGTTGCATTTAAGTCCTTAAACATATAAAATAAGACAAAAAGCTTTTATGTTGTAAATGTGAGTCTTGATTTCTCTCACCCTTTTGAAAAATTTAATAGGATGGTAAGAAAAACACCCAGCCTTCTAAATAAGTAATACCCAGGCAATCAGATAATTTATAGTACAATGGGTAATGTTGGGATCCAGTTTTTCCCCCAGCAAAATTTCTCTTTACAAATTAATTAGGGCAACAATTACCACAAAGCTAATGGCTAAAAAAACTTGATCGAATTGCAAAACTAACATTAAAACCACTTTTACCTTATGATTGAAACACTTAAAAAATCAAAAGTATTACAAATGAAAGTGTTTACCAGCTACATAACGTCTATTTCCATCAAATAAGTCTAATTTAGACTCCAACACAGTAGTAACAGCTCAAACTTTGATGGTGAACAATCCTTTTCCACCTTAATGCAGTGTACGAAGAATAGCACACATTAAAGTTTGTTACGAAAATAGAGTTTATTAAAAACATCCCTATTGTTTTGAGGAGCTTTCACCGTTACCTTGTCTTAAATTAAAAAAAAAAATAGAGAGCACTTCTAATTACGATTTGTAAACTTTTTAAAGTCAAAACTTTTAAAAAGTTACAGCAAAAAGGGTAATATTTATTCATATTTTCAGTATTTTTTGTTATTTTGTGGCTATTTTTAAATAGAAGGGAAGCAATCAAATTGCTTACAGTTCCCCACCAACTACCGCGGGGCTGATATAGCAGGAGCGAGTATAATACAGCATCTGTACACCTCCAGCGCTACACTCCAGGAAGTGTCACTGTCACATTTTAACAAATTCCAGTCTCTAACGCGGAGCCTCTGCTGCTGAGCCAGAATCCTTCTCGGGTTCAACGGATGAGGTAGCCTCGGCAGGCAACTCTTCAGAAGGCTTTACAGCTGCAGACTCGGGCTCCCCCTTATCAAGTTCTGAAACAGTGTCTACATTTCCCACTTGGCTGATGGAAGGGTCGGCGGTCTTGTTCCCGCCGGCCCTGTCTGTCACCTCAGGCTTCTCTTTGCCTCGGCTCTCCTCCTTCTCTCTACGCGGCTCTCTATCTCTAGAATCTCGCTCTCTGTCTCGATGGCCACCAGAACGTCTACTTCTCTCTTCCAAGTCTCTGTGTCTGTCCCGGTCAGGGCTCCTCCTTCCCCACTCTCTCCTTTCACGGTTACTATTATCTCTATCATCATTACGGCTTCCATACCGTTCCCGGTCATTTTCCACCCGATTTCCGAAAGATCTTCTTCCAAACCTTTCTTGGTCTCGACCTGAATTGAACTGCTGCCTGTTATCATTTCTAAACAGCTGTGGCTGTTGCTGAGTTGGTGGCGGCTGCTGCGCTGGTGGCGGCTGCTGCGTTGGTGGCGGCTGCTGAGTCAGTGGCGGCTGCTGCTGTGCTGGTGCCTGCCTGCCGTCTCTGTCTTCAGGACCCCCGGGGCCTGGTCCTGGGCCCCCAAGCCCTGGCATTCCACCAGGCCTCACAAATGGGCCATGCGGTGGAAAGGGACCTTTCATTCCATGAGGGGGAGGCATTCCAAAGCCCCCCGGTCCTGGTGGTGGACCTCTGTGCATCATATGTGGTGGCATGGGACGTGGCGGCATCAGAGGAAATCGCTGTAAGTGAGGTGGAGGCATTCCTGGAGGCCGCTGGAGTGGGATCAGGCCAGGGCGGGCACCCAGAAGACCAGTGGAGGGCGCCTGGAGCCCAATTACAGGGCCAGGGGCAACTCCTTGAGTACCTAAAAGGCAATAAAAACAAAAACGTAAACAATAACAGAAGATGGTATTATCTTTTCAACAGTTTTCTGTGGAGCTTGAAGAAAAATGAAATTCAACCCAGAATCTTCAAAATTATGCACTGTTTGCCAAGACTACTGGTCATAAACTCAATGTGAAGGCCCCGTGACAAGCCATGGCAAACAGTCTTAAAGATACGTATTACATAAAATATATATATTAGTAATAGACTGTATACATTAGTATCTAAGATAAGTAGAGGTCAAAATAAGCCAGAAAAGGAAATTGTAATTACCAATTTTTAGAAAGAGTATGTCAAAATCTAGACCCTTCATTTGTAGCTGTTTCACCACTCAAAATATGTCAAACATGAGAAACACAAGGCGCTAAGTCCTAATGAGGTTAAGGACTGAACTGAGTTATTTCAGTTGTACTCGGAAGAAAAATTTACACTCTGTCTTAGTTTTACTACTAGAAAAAATGGGTCACTGACCAGAACATCCAGTAAAGAGGGAGGTGTCTCAGATTGTGTCATTCAAATGCCCTAAGTAGTCATAGTGCCCTAAGTGTTACTTAAACACTAAGGCTTATAAAATTAAGGCCCGTACACGAACGCAGAGTTTATTTTCACAGGTCTCTTTTCAAAGCACAGTATTGCCTGTAACTTGCTAGGCTGAATCAATGCCTGCAATGCTGACCGCTCAGCCATTCTTCACCTGCTCACTCTTCCAAAGGTGGCAAGACTGATCAAGTCAGTGCTGTTGAAAGTAACAAAGACTTACTGGTTTTAGGTCCCACTTACATGAGGGTTGGCTCGTGTTTCAATGTAAGAACTATACAAATTCAACAATCCATCATTTATGATGATACAGGGAAGAGGGAAGGATTTGTTTTGGTTCACCCCTTAAGCAACAGGCATTCTCTCTCAATTTATTTCTCTGCAAACATCACAGGGCAATGCTATGACCAATAGGAGTTACTCTAATGATGGAAAATGTTCCAGATATTGTCAGAATGTGCCCTTTGCCCACATACCACAGAAAAGGCTTTGAGTATTACGGGTTATGACTACTGAGGGGCCATGGTAAGAGAAACACTTCTTTGACAGGGATAGAAAAACTGAGAGCAAACCCAATATTTTCATCTTTTTTTTCCCCTCAACATCGTGTTAATTTGTGTTTACATCTTGAATCACTTCCTCCCTCCCATTCGCTTCAGCAAACATTTAACAAGTCCTGTGTGCTCCTGGATTTTCCGTAGAAATGATTAATACTAATGTGATACCCAAGAATTTCTGCTTTGGTTTTTGCCCCTCACAACATGTGGTC